GTGGGTAGTGGGTGCAGGTGGAGACATGGATGTAATCCTGCATGTGCATGTGGAAGTATTTTTGTATGTTCATGTTTGTTCATGTACTCTAATCTTCTCCAATTTGGTATAACTGTCATTAATGAAAAGTTTAAAATACCTTACATGATGGAAGTAAATGTGCATTTAATCTTCTTTTCCAAGGAACAGCAAGTTATAACAGCCACAGATTCTCACTTTTTCTACATAATTTAACAAATATGTGAATAAATGTACCCTTTGTAATGAAAAATGCAGCTGAATAGTTTAGTATGCACTTATTCTGTATTATAGACAACTCTCTCAACAGTAGAGAAAGCACTATCTCAGAATTTCATTAAACATGACCAGTTTTTTTGATAATTTTAAATCCTACATCTTAGTTATCAATAAAACAAGGAATGTAATATCACAGACCTGTGTCTAGCTTTCATTTTGTTTTCATCTATATATTTCTGCTTATTGTGGCCAAATATGGGGTACAAGTCTAGCCTACATTCTTCACAATACAATACTTCCTCATTTATTAGAATCTTACAAAAACATTATGGTTAAGGGGGTAAAAACATTATCATTGTCATAAATCAAATAAAACTATGATATCCTATTAAAGGTGGTTTCATTCTTATGTTGTACAATATTGCTTTGATTTCTGAAGTTTTCATAATGAAGAAAATTATAGAAGTAATCAACCAAATAAAAAGCAACATTATCTCTGTCTAAGCAGGCAAAATACATTCCAAAAATAGAATTCAACTTTTACATGTCGTAAATCTGAAATATATAGGTACACTACAGAAGTGAGTGACTTTATTTAAATGTCACTGGGTCTGATGATTCAGAAAATTAATAAATATGCCACAAAAAACTGGAAAGAACTACATGTCATAAACTTTACAATAAAATAGCACTTCAAGGCCAACAATAAAAAAATAAAACCATGCCAACAATTGTATTAAAAGAAATATATCAAGAAAATAAAGCTTTGAAAAATCATTACTGCACTAAAGTTTCAGTGATCAAAGTGATAATTTTTGTAACCCACTAATGAAACATGCTTCAAACAATGAAAAAATAAGTAACGAACTGGTTAACAAAATCCAGTTATATGAACTGTATTCATGTTGACAAATGTAGAAAGGCATGAAAAAGAATGAATATCTTCACAATACAAGGGATGATGTATTTAACAGGTTTCAAATATATGTCAGAAATTTCTGACAAATATATTCAATCAAGTTAAATACATCTATTGTATTGCAAAGATATTTATTCTCAATCATACCTTTTTTGTCATGTTATGTTAAGGTGGATTGATTCTGTTAAAGCTGTCACCACAAAAGACAAGCAAAAGCAAAGTATGATACAAACCTTGTTACCAATACAGTACTAATTTGAACACTGAATTAAAACAAATTACTCATTGAAGCTTTGCTCACATTAACAGCCAAGTTAAAAAGGACTACTAATATTACTGTTCCACTTTGGTGTAGAAGCAAGAAATAGATTTTAATGGTCACTTTATTACTCTGGCATACTACATAATTATATGATCCCAGATTCCCTATATGTGAACTTCAGATCAATGCAATACTTTTTTTTACTGATCTCTCCTGACAAATGCAATACTTTTTAACTAATCTCTTCTGACAGTTTTTCATTATATAAAATTCTAAATCATTATAAAAGTTATGAGCTCTGTTAATATGTAAAAAAACATAAGGTTATAGAGAAGCATAATGTTGAAAGAAAATACTTATTAAATGTTTCCCATACCAATTTAAAGGACATTTTTCTAAAACCTGTTTTAAAAAAGCCTGACTAGAAACACTGTTAAAAGTTGTTAACTGCTAATCAGTCACATTAAATGGTAATTCACCTAGCTTCTTTGTTACAATTTTATGCAAGAAAGTTTTCTGAACACTATGCCACTTAAACAGAGAAACGCAAATTAGTTTCACACTGATTACAATTTTTTCGTAGATTTAAGAACTGCCAAATGTACATTATAAATTTCATTCATCAGCTAGAATCACCTTTATTCCAACCTATATAAAACAGAGTTCTTATGCAAAGACAATCAAATGGCAACAACTCTCTTGTGAAGTGTAAGTTCAGTGTTTCCCATGCTGTAAAAGAACAGGTTTACAATATTTGACTGCATAGGAAAAACACCTCTTGCAAGATAACAATTACTGTATTACTACATATCAAAATAATGTACAGTAACTATTTGTCCAGTTGATCTAAGGAAACTCAACTACTAATCTTTAATACATCTAAGTGATATTTTCAATGTATTTTTTTACACTTAATTTTGTCTAAAGGTCATAACAAATAACACAGCAGATAGAGTCAGCCAAGATGATCTGCTTCTGCGAAGTTCACAGAAAATATACATAATTAAGTTTTATTTTGATATAATTTTTTGGGTGGGGGCTATCAGTTTGTAGAATAAGTCCTAGATAGAAGAATGGTCTTTACACAAGATAAACCATTATTGTAATTAAAAATCTAATCTTATTTTGGATATAGTACAACTGCTATCTATCAATAATAAATCCCAATTGATAAGCTTAAAACTTCAAATCAATTAGCCATCACTGAAGTTGAAAAATAAGATATTTTCTCTTTATTCAATATTTACAGCCACTATTTTTTGGTATATGGCAAAAAATTTACTTTAAATATAAAGCTTCCATTAATGGTTAATGGTATTCATGACATTTTTCCAGAAACCTCTACACTTAAAGTAGAGAAGATATATTGCCAAGTGTAGAACAATAATATATAAAAACATTAAATATATGAAGCATGGTAAAGTTTAATGAAACAAATATACAAAAAATATACATATGCAGTAATGTATTTAATTACTATGCCCAGACTCTAATAACATTCCCACCCTTGAACAAATTCAAAACTGGTTAAGTGACCAGACATTCACAGTCTATAAAACAATAAAAAACAATCTTAAAAATAATAATAAAATCAAAGGTTTCAGTGCAGCAAAAATTCGACTTACCTATTGTTTCAACAGTAGTCATCTGGGAATAGGTGCCAAAATATGCTCTTTAAGGCTGGCCTTCTGCTGGGACACAGCCTTTAAGTCTAACCCTTGCAAGCCAATATACAAAATGATATCCATGAACATTAAAGAAAAGTTAAGTCTTGAGTTGTAAAAATAGAGAACAGGATTAAAGGACACTCATTTATGAAAATTAATATTTGCTAACAGTTATCTTGCATTACATGACTAGTACTCTTGGTGCAACACCAATGTGCTTTCTTAATTTGATGTTAGCATTACCCCGGCCATCATCTAAATAAAAAAAATGACAATAAAGAAGAAATGGTGAGGTAGGCAGAGATAGCACCAAAAATAACTGTGAATACTAGAAGTTTCCATTTTGCTGCAAGAGAGAAATCTGCAAGATATGAAAAGATGATGACATTCTCATTCTTAGCAATATGTTGTCTTCCGAATACCCTGACTAGTATGTGTGTGTGCATTCTGTATGTAATTACTTTATTAATATAATAAAATACAGAATAAATCTGAACAGTAGGGAATACAATGCATTCACTTTTCTATATAAGTTCTCTAAAAAATAAAAAAAAATAAAAAAAATCCTTTCACCATGTTAATAATTCATGGAACAAAAAGAACTGTAATGATGAGTTTCCATGGGAAAAATCTTCCATACTCTAATAATTCTAGTTGATAATATGCTATCCTCATCTAAACTTATTTTGGAGGTTCAAAGGACACCCATTAACAGGACATAACATATCCCCATTTGATGCCAAAGAGTATATTTCTCATAAAATAACATTATCCTTCTTTATTTTCTGGACTTCCCAGTCTTTTGACCTGAAATTGTTTGGGATTACAGATCAATCATAAAAGTGAAACCTGTACAATGAACATCAATCACACATATTCCTCATTCAAACTTCAAATATCTCATGTTTCAAATTATCACATTTTGTTAAATGCTGCTAAGGCACCTTTAACTGAAAATATAAAAGCATGAAGGTGTTTTAACTTCAATGCCTCAACAACCATACCCAATGCTCCTGGGAGGAAAAATAGCCTCTGCTTGAACCAGAAATGCATATTCCTTAAACCTAAAAAGTTTGGGCTTTGGAATGATATGATCAAGGATGTCAGCCTACTCACCTGTATACAGGTAACATTTTTTTTCTACACTTATGTGATGTTGAATGCAAATGGTTGTGTAATTTCTATTCAAAGCTTTTAGTTTTATCCCCTTTGTTTTGCTCTCTGCAACATGAATCACTGGTCTATCTATAACATTTTTTTACATTGCCCAAGGCTTTACAATTATGTTATCATTACTTATTTCATAAATGTGATACATATAAAAAAGGAGTCTGCAATATCAAGCCCTGCATAGATTAAATGCAAGAAATGTGAATATACAGGCTTAGCTCTGAATGATTCTGCTAATTCATGAAACAAAAAATCCTAATCTAGTCACGACACACTTCTCAAACTTAAGATATCCTCTTCACACTACCATTGCACAAAAGAGTAAAACAGTCAAAAATTTCATACCTGATAATCATATTTACATTATTACAAATTAAAATTACTGGAAAATAACTAGCACTTCTAAAATATAACCAAGAATGAAACACTCAGTACAAAATAAAATACCAAATATCTGTGCTCTAATATGATTCATATGATTAGATGTTTGAGATGATTCAATGTATGAAAAATATGATTAATTCAGGTGATGATAAATGCCATAAAAGAACCATAATTATTTTATATTGCATTGAATACTAAACACCTGACTTGTCTGTTACAGAATAGTCACCAAAAGGAAACCATGAGGGTTCCTGAGAGTTGAGAATTTAGGATGAAGTCTACAAAAAGGAAAAAAGGAGTTGTATACCAAATAAAGTGGATACATCTGAGGGATATAGGGAGCACACTTATTAGGTACTGATACCAATTTTAGGGTAACATATATTCTGTGATACTAAATATTTACAAAACTGCTTACACTACTGTATTTGAACATTTTTTTTCTTCCTATGCACATAATGCAACACCTTACTGTAGGCAAAAGCAAATTGAATTAGGTCTTATTTCTCAAGGCTTTGAGGAATGTGAACAAACACTTGTAACAATTTCAAATAATCTACACATGAACTTTAACAAGATTGGTCGCCTACAGAACTTGGAGGAGTATTCTTAGAGCGTGCTTTGGAAAAATCTAATTTAAGGTATGCTTCAAACATACGGCGTGCCTGAGCTAGTACCTTATGCACATTGTGTTGCCGAACCATCTTGTCAAAGTGCATTGCCAATTCATTGTGGTCCATATTATTTTGCATGATGTGCTCGCGGTGCTGCAAGAGAAGAGTCAGGCACAGGAACATGAGAAAAGGATTACCACCACCAAACTCCTCAGGGGGTGGCATTGTCGGCACATGATTCTCACCAGAGCTCATGGTTACTTGCCATCCAGTAACTTCTGTCACCTCCTCACAAGAATTGACACTGATATTCATTGAAGTGTCATTCTCCTCTGTCTTTTCTGAAGTTTGATGCTGGCCATTAGTCTTTGGTTTTAGCTGCTGTACCACAGATGGCTGCTCCTCTTGACATATTATCTGTAATTGTTGGTCAGTCTCTGGTGAGAGTGTTGCCACAGGATTCTGCCAAACATCAACTTCCCCACCATCTGAGTAAACTGGTACGCCAACATCTGCATCAGAATCTGAGAAACACCTTCTGGACTTATTGCTGGCTTTCATGTCTCCTGATATTTGTTTAGCTGCCTCACTTTTTTTTCTCGTGGGAGTATTCTTGGAATCCTTGCTTGGTGAGCCAGGATTACTTTCAGTATCTGAGTCTCTATTTTTTGTTAGAAGCTGGAACTCTCTTAGATTTCTAATTTTTCTAACATTCCTAGTAGGACTATCTTCTGGAGATGTGTTTTCCTCTCTGATTCTATCAACATTAATGCCTGCCTCGCCACTAGGTATTCTTGTTCGTAGGTGAGATGTGTCAATGGGTTGAGACCATGTTCGACTTAGTCTCTTCCCACCTACACTACCATCTGCACCATCACAGTCAACACTAGCCGCCCTTCTACTAAGTATGGCAGCAAGGCACTCAGCACTTCTGTTTGAAACACATGACCTCTGACGTCTTAGGGCACATACATTGGCATAATGGTTCTGTCTTGGTGTTGGTGGTGGAAGTGGGACCTCCGGTTCTTGAACAGGATTAAATAAAACCTGTAATGTAAGATATTCTCAATTGATTTCATTAGGTCACAATAATTGCTAAAACAACAATGGAATCTAGCATGCTGATATCCGTCTTTCTCTACAATCAATATTTACTTTTATAAAAATTACTTAGCTCATTTCATAAAAACTTGGTACTATAATAACACACTCCTTGATAAAAGTGCCTTGTCCATTCTGTTAAAAGTCGTATGTAGTTTCTCTCTTTTCCAATTCAACCCAGTGATGCTGGGAAGGCATGTATATAAATGCTCAGTCCACTAAGAATTTAGTTTATTAATTTTGTTTATAGATAGATGACTCTAGAAGTACTTAGTCAATTAGTTAGCCAAATTAAAGTCACCTGTTCACCCCTTTCTTTTTCTTTTTTAACCCTATCAGTATTGTTACTAACATTATAATAAACATGAAGTCAATAACTATAATGATAGTATTAACCCATTTACGATGGGTGTCCCACATTGCCGGGTGTCCCACTAGGATGACGCTGTATCAGGGCTCGCACTCCAATTCAGCAGCAGGCCACTGCCGGCACACAGGCAGAGTCCGGGCCAGCCCTGCATGCCGGTTTTGTAGCCACCCGAAAACTTTTATTTTCGGCTTCAAAATATACCCGTATTAGTGGGTTAACCCTACAATCCAGGTGTTGTTTGTTGGTCCCGTCATGGAAAAATCTGGGTCGAGGGCCAGATGATATGAACATGTCATCAAATTGGCTGCGGGCTGAGTGACACTCACCATAAGTGCACAAACCTTTTGAAATGTGATTGGCACTTGTAATGGGCTTTTGCATTATTCCCATCCATAAACAAATGTGGAATGCGTGACTGGAAGAGCACTGGCTTTAAGGAGGACGCCATTTCTATGCTCCACATCATATTCCTGGCCACTGTGACCGGCGGTACAGGTAGTATTACAGAAAATTTAATATCAATCAAAAATAAGATATATGACACAACTAACCAAATGCTACATTTTTTTTCTTGCACTGAGTTATTTACTACATAGACAGATGATATGGAGTCTGTGCAAGGGAAATAAGCTATTACCCTCTGGATAAAGCAAATCATAAGATAAATATGGACATTGGAAAATGGCAAAAAAGCTAAAAAAAGTTTATGCAAAATAACTTCGTAAAGGGGAGGAGCAGAATCTTGTCACTACTCATGAGTGTTTGCATGCGCCAGCCTATGCACCGCACAACCAGGATATTGGCCACTTTTGTAACCCACTGCCCATATTTTTGGTAATTATTTCTGTGATGCATCCAGATCCAGCAGGTTAAAAAGATCTTGAATATTCAAGAAATGGGGCAATCCAGGTGCAGTGAGGCAAACCAAGTAATTGTCTCCTTGGTAACTAAATTCTTGTGGAGCCATCTATGCATAAGCAAAATTAATAAAATACTGTGGACAGTTAATGGGTTAAATATTGCTACAATTGGTAATAAGAAAAAACAATGCAGAAAAATGCCTACTTCAAAATTATCATGAAATTCAACTTCATAACTGCTAATATTGACTAAACACAGACTTAATACCATGAGGCAATTAGGGTATTTTCATGGTACTGGTAAGTGTTGGGAGGATGAGGTGGGTGAATCATAGCAGTTTTGAATAGCTACATGAGTGAAGATTTACCACTGATGGTTAATGATTTTAAAAAATAAATGTGCTAGATATCAAAAGTAATACAGCAATATGGTACAGTATTGTGGCAAAAAAGGGGAAAAATGAGTTAATGATTCGGATAAATATGTGTTAGATGAACATGAGGTGGAGGAGGATAGATAGTTGAAAAGTAGTGGAAATGGGAATAGAGGGATTGGAAGATGGATTGAGGGAGTGCAGCATTCTGTTGGGTCCTGTTTATGAAGTTTTGGATGTCTTCAAGGGTTTCTAGAGGCGAGTTGAGTGGAGGGGTCTGAGAAAGAAAGGTTCTCTTGTAAGGAGGTGAAGAGGGGATAGATGTCTGAGGAGCAGAAGAATAGGATGTGGTAGGAGAAGATGAAATGGAACATTTAGGCTGCCTGGTGCACCAGGTAAACTGAGGAGGAGGGGTAGGCATCAGGGAAGTGGTAGATATTGGAGTATCTGTATTTACATATGAAAAGGAATTTGACTGGAGAAAGAGAGGTAGGATGGTTCTGGGTAGAGGGATGAGCTACTGGAGGAGATGTTGTGACATGTTGAGATGGGAGGGGAGCAGAGTGAAGGACAGTCTTGGAATAGGTAGAGAGAAAAACCTCGTCACTGTGCTTCCTGTCTGGCTTCATGTTGAGTGAGGCCTAGTTTGAACCTGAGAACTGCTACCTCACATTTGAGCTTTTAAGCTCGAATAAAATGTTATGGGAGCCACCAAAACTGGTAATGACTGAACAGAGCAATTTGAATTGTCATGACCAAGTTGGGCACATATAGGACAACAGGCTGTGGCACAAGTGTTGGGCTGGGTGGCTAAAACTTCAACAATTCTGACATTAACGGGGGAAGGTTGATGTGATCGGACAGGATTTTATAAACTTCATGGGGGCAGTCATGTCTAAGGAAACTAATCTTGGCAATATTTGACATGGAACTTACGCTGGCCTCTTTGAGGAATAGCGTAGCACTGTACTGCCACTGCATCATAATCAACAAGACAAGCAAGAAGGTCGTTTTCACAGTCTGACCAGTTCTTATCATGGATAGGACAATCAGTCAGGGAGACAGAAACAGTTCCAGTATAAGTATTCAGAAAGGAGTGAGGTTCAGCAGAAAAAGGTTTGTCAGTGAGGTCAGTCATAATAGATGCACAAGGCTGGGACTCAGATGTAACTGTGACAAGGCGTGAACAATTGGAACAACTGTGAAAGGACATTGCTAGAAAAGAAGGGTATTTTCATTTTCAGAGTAAGGAGCTGTGAGGAGACTCACAAAGAATTGATACCACTTAGCTGGGCCAAAGAGAGTACTCAAAAGGTTTGTTCAGGTGGAAGCAGTTGAAGACGGATGTTGGGGTGGTGTATATTGGAGTAGTACTACAGGGAGGAGGACAATGCAGATGAAGAGTAGTAATACAGGAGAGAGGGTAGACAATGAAGAAGACCGAGCAGTACAAGATGGAGTGAAGAATGTTAAGATAGAAGGGGATGCATTCTGAAGATTGAGTAATGACCTGGGTGGGTGGTTCGTAAAGGATAGTTGTCTGTAAGCATTAAGGAGGGAATATTACAGGGTTTGTACACTTTTTTAATATCAAAATTCCATAACTTTTCAGAGTGGTTTTGGCATTTTCCACAATAATTCACATTTTTTCTTAAACATTTGATATATATTCACAATGTATATGACCCATTACAACATGTACAGTGACTGTATTTCAAAATTGACATCAAATATAAAAGATTTAAACAATGACTTGTGAGTGTGCTTTGCTGACACTTCAGTGACTAGTTGCTTTATAATGGAACAGCATATATCAATTTATGCTATGTAATTTTTCAATTTTTCATTCAGTTACCTCAACCTTATGAAGTTTATTTTGATTTCTTTCTGAAGATTTTCTCAAATTATAAAAGGAAAAAAAAAAAATCTAAGTCAGAATTCTAAACTTTTTAAGGACACAAATACTGAATTTCCATAATTTTCCAAACTTGAAAACAAAATTCCATAATTCCAAAGGTCTGGAAATTTCCATTTAAATTTCCATGATTTTCCATGATTCTCCAGGACCTGTCAGAACCCTGGTATTAGTATCCGTGATTGGAGCCATGGTCAAGGGAGAGGCAGGGGTCAGAAAACCAACAAAATCAAATTCAGCTAGGCTAGTTGGTGAAGGGTTAAGCTTTAACCCACTAACGACGGATGTCCCACATATGAGACACCCAAAATAATAAACATTGCCGGGCGTCCCGCCAGTGTGTGATGCTGTATCAGGGCTCGCTCTGACACAGCAGCGGGCTGTGGCCGGCTGGCGGGCAGAGTCCGGGGCAGCCCCGCCTGCCGATTTTGTAGCCGCCCGGAATTTTTCATTTTCAACTTCAAAATATACCGGCGTTAATGGGTTAATGCCCTTTATAAGGGTAAGAAAATTCTTTATTGGCCATGGTGAGCCTGAAATAATTGGGGAAAAGAAACAGTCTACCCCTCAGTATACCAATAAAAGATAAAAGCTAGGCAATTAGTCAAGGAAATACCAAACTCATAGCTCCCAGAGGCTGTTCATGACTGACACAAAGCTAGCCTTTCATCCTTTTAGCATGGCTCTCACACGTTAGGAAGTGGGCAGAAGAAGGGGATGAAGAAGAGACAGAAAAAGAAAGGGAGAGAAGGAAAGGCCATACAAAATTATTTGAGGTGAGGGCTGAGGCTTAAGGTAGGGGTGATCCCTTACATTGCGCCTAGTCTCCACAACCTAAGTCCCCCCCACAACAACAAGCAAAGCTTTGGGTGTACCACTGATGAGTGTGAATTTCATTTCTATGAATGAAATTCATATGTTTTAACCCCTTTTATAACACAGGAACCAATAACATATCTTTCTGCTACAACCAGCACTTGAAAAGGAAATTAAAAAAGTCTCTATGGCAATTAAATAAAGTTTCTTTCATTAAAATTTACAGAAAATGATAAGAAATATTGTGAATTTTCTTTTTTTTTCTTAATCCACTGGTGACGGGATGGAATCCTATCACATCATGGAAAACTAAGGTAAATTTTATAAACCTGTGAGATTGTTTTATAAGGATATCATTGACAGTTTATGCTAATTTTTAAATTGGATAGTACACACTGCAGGCTGACACAGCACAGCAACAGATATATATATATTTAAAGCAAGAATTATTGATTTTACCATCCTTATCCCCCTTTTCGGAGACAGTCCCGTTCACTTTGTAAGCTCCATTTGCTACCATTTACTTCCATGTACAACAATAAACATCATTTTGGTAAAGAAGTGGTCAACTGAGTTTGGTGATCCTTAGATATAGCAACTGGGCCATATACATCCATAAGGAATAAGTCTAGAAAAATAGTATAAATTTCACATTTTAGGAGGGGGAAAAGAAAAGCATATATTATTTCTAACATCCTCTAGCCTTTTCTTAACCAAAGAAAATGGAAATAAATATACCTCATAAAGTGGAAGAGATTCTGCTGGTGGATCTGGAGGAAGAGAACTCCACAGAACCTCCAGCATGTGTAGAGCATCATCAAATGCAAACTCTCGCTTCAACTCCAGCAGCAGCCATCGATAGCAAAATAGCAAGTCATCAGCCTGCAATAGCATCATATGTAATAGTTAATCAACATGATGTACCTTTGTAATTAATGAAACCTTTGGACATTATTTCTGCTTTGCTTAATTCAATTATGCATAATGCAGCCTGACATTCATGGGAACTGCTTTGTCTAAAAAATCTGATAGTATAAAATTCAAAGTAAAGAATATACTACTTTCACTAACAAACCTGATGCAGCTGAAGGTATGTAAAATATTCCAAGTCATAAAAAATGAGAGCTTCTGTAAGGTGCTGGAACTTCAGAGTCATAGCATCTCCATCTATGTGGAAATTGGAATGCACTCGGGCCATGAGGGCACAAAAACACACATAGGCTTGTGCTTCATCACGCATAGTGACTAAGAGAGGAGAAGCCAAGTCACTCATCCCTTGACAATAACCAACAGAAGGATGATTCAGAGCATACCTGAATGTAATAGAAAAGTACATTATCATTACTGTTACACAAAGTAAAATAAATCCAATTTGACTATGATTGAACTGCAACCATACATAGAGCACACAAAAACCATTAATCTTAAAGACATTTCCAACAAAGGATTAATCCGTTGTCAATTATTCCAAAACTGGATAAATATTTACAGCTTTTATCTTCAAGTTTTTAAGTAATTTTAGGGCTCTATTTTCATTAAAAATAAACAAAATAAGCAGTCCATTATCAAAGATTATTAAAACTAATCCTCTCTCTAACCAGTGAGCCATGTTATAGTGAAATAAAAGTATGATACAGCTTGTACATACACACGGATTATGGTATGTTCATTTCACTTTGAAGTTTATAATAATTTTCACATTGAACTTGATTAGGAAAGAATGCAATATATTCACCAGTTTACATGACATCACGTACCAAAATCACCTACCGCTTGACACAAAAAATAAAAAAGCATTTAAAAAAGATGATACTTCAGTATATACAGGATTTAAATTTTTGTATTGAATTTAAGCCTTTATTTCTGTATCCAATGTCTTATGCAGGAAAGATCGAGAGAACAATTTACTTCTAGAATAGTTGAATTTCACATCAAATTACCCATCTGTACCTCGCGTTCCATTTACATTTTAAAACTAGTTTAAGACAAAGAGTGCTACAATTATTTTATACATTTTGTTACTGCTTTCCAGTTACACCACTGGATAGTAAAGCATTTAAAAATTTGATGATACAAAAATGTATACAATATAACTGTAGTTAAGAAATAATATGGCATCCATCCATACAATATCATAAAAAGATGTTATTACTACTTTTCTATATCTCTGTGATATAGGATCTTAAGATGGAATACTAAAATCACAAAGCAGCTGGATATCAAATAAAAATGAAGTGGTTGTAGCATCATTGTTTGTGAGATAATTTAATCCAATGCCACCTGGAACATGTACTGTCCACCATAGTTTTACTTTGTGATAGATGGCTCTGCAAGTGCTTATCTGCTAAGGATCAGTTAGCAAACCAACATGAGCTGACCTAGTTTTCCTTTTCTTGACTTTTGGGAAAATGTGCTCTTTTCATAATGCTATTAATATTGAAACTGTTATAATAATTATTGTCATTATGATTATAATACTATTATCAAAACATTAATAGCAACAAAAGAACAAACAACAATATTTCATAAAATAAACAAAGGATTAACAGGTGAGATAGGTAGGAATAGTAATTGACACATTGGTGATTAAGCACTTGTGGAGCCATCTATGTATTAGCACAATGAATAAACTAAAATTACAATGGACACAGCATGTATGAACAGGCTATCCACAATGGCAATGGTTTAAGAGTTAATATAATATCAAAAGCAGATGGCTGGTGTACATATTTCAAGCAAGCAAAGCCTAAATTATGAATCTATAAAACAGTTCAACATGTGTAAAGTAAATTTCAAGTATGAGGTATGGTCAGTTTATCATGATTTAGTTGCATGATTTCTATTCTTGAAGATATTAAGAAAAAGTGATAAGTATGGTATGAAAACATGAACCAGGTACGTATCAATCACATTTTGTCACAAGGATCTGCTGCATTAAAATTCTCAGGGTACACTAATTTAGAACAGACAACAGGACCTATGGATTATTTACTCCATCTTCACAAGGATGGTGGGTTAAAAGAGAAAGAAAAAAATCTCTGATAATCAGTCATGTCCTATTACCATCTTGAATTCTTGAAAAAATCAGTGCTAATTTCTCACAAGGAAGAGTTTAATTTTGTTCTTCATTATGTACAGTCCACTTTCAGGGACTGATGCCTTAAAACAGCCGATGGATCAAATAAATTCTTTAGCACTCTAAAGACAATAAGAATTTTGTTAATGAGAAAGCCTTTCCCTGAATCTATTGCTAAATTTACCTTTCATAAAATGAAACAAAGGGAATCATGCTCTCTGTCTCATATATATGCAATGCTAGGCTTGAAAGATGCATTAAATCTAGAAAGTCATAGTATGCTA